GGTTTATGGCATAGCATAGGGGCACATAAAGGATAAAGGATAAAAGTATAAAGGATAAAGGATAAAGCATCTGCCGTTGATCAATCCCTTTTTGGGATGCGGCACGCATTCTACTTCCATTTGTACATTCGAAGTGGCGTTTGGCCTATACAATGACTTGCGGGGGCCAGCCGATGTACAAGTCAGTGTTTTTATCCTCCCAGACAAGTCTGGTACCAATTAACCGACCCCGGAGGGATGGAAGGCTTGGTTGGCCCGGGCGACTCACGACCCAGGATTTGATCCCCGGACCGCTCGCGTGGTAAGCGCGCCACTTGTCACTACACCACTTCCGCCCTACTAGGGCACATAATGGTATCTAAATGATTTTCGTACAGCTGATGCCAAGAACATCGAAACTGCAGCTACTCGTGTGGCCTAGTGGCCCTGTGGTTCTGTGCTTGGCACGATGTTGATGGGATATTCGGTGCGACTCTTTATGAGCATGCACTTTTGTATTTTTGAGTGACGCTTCACGATGATTGCCAAATGGCACTATTCCTACATGAGTGTTATACTCATGATCAGAGATCGTCTACGGACGATCTACCATCAAACCTGATGGAGTACTGGTCTCCCATGGTCCAGCCGTGGATCCAATATTCGAAGTTGGATCAAATCTAAATTTGCCTTGATTAGGACTTACGTTATTTGTTTCGGCGTAAAAGTCAATGGAAGCAGGGTCAACCGTCCGTTCGAACTGTTCGAACGAAGGGGTCGCATTTTGGTCGGAAGGGGGTCGCAATTTCGAGGACTGCCAGCCACAGGCGCGTGCGTGGCGTATCCGAGGGCAAGAATTGTTTGTGCAGACCGCATTAGATTCGATTAATTATGCACAAGAGACAGTTTTGGGCAAATTACGGTGTTTTCCTTGAGGAATAGAGAACAGTTGAATGCATCTCCATGAAAAGTTTGACTTCTTGTGGCTGAAATTGAACTTCTTCGGGAACCTACTTTTCTACGGACGGTTCTTCCACAAAATCGTGAAACACATAAGAAAGAAGAAACCTCGCGGTCTTCAAAAATGTCTTCGCCTCTTTCCAACATGCTCTTTGAAGGAAGTTATTATTGCTGAAAGCTCGAAACCTCGCATGTGCTGCTCAAAAACCTATGGGATCCAAATGTTCGAACGTGGGATTTTCTCGAAAAATGAACTTTGAAAAATGGTTTAGGGCTTGTTAGAAAGAGCAAATTCTGCTCTTTCACCCCATGGAAAGAGGGAAACGCAGCAATCAAAATGAAGCGAGTTATGCTCGTTGAAAGCCCAAAAACTCGCGATTTCAAAGAATGTGTTCGGCAAAACCGCCCGAAATGTTCGAACGTGGGATTTTCTCGAAAAATGAACTTTGAAAAAATGGTTTAGGGCTTATTAGAAAGAGCAAAACCTGCTCTTTCACCCCATGGAAAGAGGGAAACACAGCAATCAAAATGAAGTGAGTTATAGTCGCTGAAAGCTTAAAAACTCGGTTTTGCACGGGAACTGTTCGAACGGGGCAAATTTTTGAAAAAGGGGACAATCACTTAACTTTTTATAATCTTTTGTTAGAGAAATATTTGAAGTTTCTAAAACTTTTCACAAATTTCCAAGATGTCGCATACGAAAGATTTTATGAGCTCTCAAAGTTGGAGGTGCGCCTTCTCAGAATTTTGGGTTTTCCGCTTCTGACAGAAATACTTTTGGGAGAGTTAGGTCATCCTTGCAATTTTCTGTAAAGCCACCTCAGGCACAGTTTAAACCTACCTCAATAAGTGAAACAAATACGTCTCAAGAAAGTTACACTCTCCTAAAACTTTTTCTTCGCCGCGTCCCAGTTTTCCAGCGTCCGGGTGATACCTGCCGCGCTCCAAGGTTGACGCCGCAACGCAAACGCTTTCTGCGGCGGTTTCTGACGCAATCATGTCAGTCCTACTCTTCTTTAATCCTTCCTCTTTTTTCAGCTGTTTGAGCAGAAGTTCGTCAGTCTTCATGTTACTTGTTGGATATCCCTCCATTTGGTCTTACAAATTTTGATCTCGCGAGGCTAACCATAAAAAATAGCTTTCATTAGCCAGTGCCCTGTGATTCTTGCTCCTTTGGGGCTCATCTTAGGAGATGCATTGATGGAGAACGTAACTCTCTTTGATTTACTCCCTTGAACTGCTCTTGTGATTCTTTCGGAAGCATGAAGTTTGAAGTTTTGGGCAACATGAAAAAAATATTGAATTTTTTTCAGAAATTCAATGATTTTTTGAAAACAATTCAATTCAAATTTCAGTGAAGATCTCAATATTCAAATGTTCTGTTCATATTTCATGGAAGTTCATTGTCCATTTGAAAACAATGAACTTACGAACTTACGAACACAACATTTGAATATTGAATTCTTTACTGAACATTTGAATTGAATTTTTTTCAAAAAATCATTGAATTTTGAAAAAAATTCAATGATTTTTTGAAAAGAATTCAATTCAAATGCCAGTGAAGAATTCAATATTCAAATGTTTTGTTCTATGTCATGGAAGTTCATTGTCTTTAAAAGGTTTTAGTTCACTGTCTTTGAAGTAAAATGAGTGAAATAAATATTTCACTTAACATTTAGTCAGCACATTCGGCACTTCCATTACCTAAGAGGGGGTCGCAACTGGACCCCCTTGAGATAAGGGGGTGACCCCCTTGAGAAAAGGGGGTCGCAAAAACCCTGAAAATGTTCGAACGTGACGGTTGACCCTGCTTGGAGCCCCCGTTTTTGGATCAATATCTACTCCCCAGTTTTTGGTTAAAAACTACTTGCAGAGGTTAGTGATGTCCCTGATTCACTGACATGACATCTGTTATTCACACTGGCGCTATTCTGCGCGAACTCTGGAACGCCAACTCAAAATGGAAAAATTTGTCAGCATGAGGAATCGGACCACGGACCACGTTATTACCATTTCTTGGCAATTATGCAAGCATGCCGAAAAAATGAACAACGATTTAAGGAGTTTCCCGCATGCGGTCCCAAAGCTACCAATGCGGAAAAAAACATCTCAAAAGCAAGCAGCCAAAAACCTTCCTAGGGTTAGTGACGCGTTTCGATGAGCGGATGTGACGCTATTTCTGCAGTGAAACACCACACGCTACTGTCCACCGGAGCGACTACTTCAGTGGGCTGAGCCCCGTCTTTGTCTTTGAGACGGTGCGCCAGACGCGTATTTACTGATTTCGGTTTAGGAATTCCTATAATCGCGCGCGAATGTCGCGACCTACTGAAGGACGAACTAACGCTGCAAAGCAACCCAATCAAATAAGTTTAGAGGTGTCAGTGATGCACGAAGGAAGAAACTGAGAAATGGCCCAGAACCCGAAAATTGGGACCCCTTGCCCGTTGCCCTTTGTTTTGTGTGTGTTTTGATGCGACTCTCATCTTTGTGCCCTCTTCCAATACTACGCCCTCTCTCTGCCATCTAATCACTCGCCACGTATTGAGACCAGCGGCGAGTGATGAGATGGTCGGTTGACGTACACCGGCCATCCGCGCCAAGATTGAGCTATGCTGGAGCGCCGAGGTCAAATCTTTCGCTGCCAATTGCGCGTTGGTCAGCACCCTCAGGAGGTCCGCCTGTATCCCAACTAGGCCAATTCCCCCTTCTTCGACCTTCGTTCTTATCGTGAATTCGTCCTTTAAGTGGAAGGTGGGGAATATACCGTATCCTTTCCAACTGCCTTCGTCCGCGTTTTGATGCTAAACAGTATACTAAGCAAATACGTAGTACAAAACACCAAGTCATAATATGCAATATCGCTAGAGAGCTTTCAGCTTTGAGGTTCGCTGCCGATATCGGCTTAATCCGCTCATCAGCTGTCGGATGTTGAAGTGGCTGAATCACTATAGTAAGTACCATAAAGCTAGTTATGTTGAGATGCCCGTTGGTGTTATATTGGTTTCAGGCACGACAGCTCTAGAAAACTTGAAGGTGCGAGTTCGGTCTCCCGCCTGGAGCGATTCGCCCAAATTCAGGGCATCTTTCGAAACAAACCAAAGTGTGACCTATTTTCCCAAAAAGACCAATTTTCACTGATAACATTACTCTTCCTGCATCAATAAAAGCTACGGACGCCAGTTGGTGCAGCTTTTTGCTTCCGGTCGAGCTTAATTGACCGTGAAAACAATCATCGATCAAATCAGTTCATAAAAAAAAAACGAAAAAAACTCGTTGAAAATAATAATATTTATTATTTACATTTGTACAATCCGGTTCTCCTTGTAGGAGAAAGGGAGAAAAGTCGGTGCCGATGAAGAGTTGGCGAAACTGTCCTGAAATTAAATTTCATAAGGTACGGTAAAAGTAAAGAGTTTACTTAATATCACACACAGTCGGCCACAAAATTGGTCAAGATCAGTTGCTTGTCCACTGAGGTTGCGAGGGGGGGGGGGAGGTCGGGAGAAAGCAGAGGTCGCATTTGTCGAGTCCGCAGAAGCTTGCATTGAGATCAGTGTAAAATTGAAAAAACGGGGTTGAAAAACGTGCTATTGAAAGGTGCTATTAATATTAAGTTTGTGAGATTTTTGCTACAGATTTGGGAATTCCTATCGTTTCCGGCATTAATACCTTCGATCAGGAAGAGTTCGAAAGTGAGGCCCACCGTGGAAAAGGTAGAGAGGTAGGCATATTTAGGAGGAAGTTCAAATTTATCCCTCGTCACCATGCTTAACCCTGGTCAATGTGGCCCAAACGCAGGGTCTATTGCAAAAGGTAACCGGTTTTCTTTCATTTCAAATACTCTTTCTCGCGTCATTACAGTACCACAAGTAGAGCCAACCAATGCGAATGTCTCTAACTCCGCCCACACTTCCAACACGATTATTTTGTTCCTAACAGTTTTCTTTGCTTTTTTCCTTAGTGGTCACCAATCACCGCTATTTCTCAGTTTCCCGGATGGGTTGGCCAACACCTGCGCAGTAAAGGAATGTATCTTCAAGAAGTAGAACTTACATCGATCAGCGGTGTTTTGCGGATTCTCGATCTGAATCGCCACAACTCGTTGCGGTCGAGACGATCGATGTGACTTCGCGATTCCCGCTGAGATCATTGCCGACGTTTGAACGGCTTGAGATGAAGTCATCGGACGAGAATGATGTCGAAACGTTTCCGATTTCATCAGTCGAGGACCCCGTCGAGTTGACGAACAGGTGGTGGTCGCAGCCGTCGTTGACGGTAACGGTGGTTTCGATGTTCGAACAACATGGCAGTTGAGCAGATCGTGGAAGAGGTGCCGACGAACACGTCGGCTTCTGCACACTGCTCCTACGTACAGCTTCTTCGTATGATGGCAGCTCATCGGTAGAGACGCACATCGACGGGGTGGAATGGGAAATACAGTAGGCGTACGAAGGAGGACGCTGAAACCAGTACAATCATTTCATGGTCCATATGAGGGTTTTCCATGCTAATAAGAAACTCCTCTTGGTGCTACTTTAATCTTAATTAATTCAATAACAGTGACACTCATTTTTTATACATATAACTTGAGCTCAGGCAATTTGTATGCTTATCAAACCAAAACGCTAGGGATGCAGGTTACCGCTGACCCAGATCCCTACCCTTCCGGGGCGTTACAAACGCTGAGGGATTGATCGACCCCATATGCCTCGGCTATTAGTTACGTTACCATCTATCTACCAACATCTTGGCAGATGATGGCCCCCAAGATGTTATGATTTATGCCGATTCACTGGACTATAAGAGCAAAGGAATCAGTAAATAGCATTAGTATCGTACCCCTGCCCCTCCCCAAAGATAATTTGGACACTAACAAACCTGAGCAGCGAACGCTTTCTCAGCTTACAAATTGCAGCACATTCTTTAAATAAAGTGCTGAGACATATGGGGTCGATAAATGCCTTATTAACGTCCGCCACGCACATAGCTTTCATTCGAAATCGTAGAGGTGTTCGAAGGCGACAATGGCCTATGCAATGACTTGGGCGGAAACCAGCGCTGTTAAAACTAGGCATTTATTTTGATTTGCACCAAGTAGTCGACCCCAAAAGAGAAAAGTACGGTTACCACGGGATTTGATCGGAAGATCTAAACTTTTACAACCTTGCGCTCTGTGTGATAAAGCGTAGCTATTTGCAGCTACTCCGCCTATACGCACGTCAAAGAACGAAAATAAGTCTTTAGACAAAGGGAAAGAAGTTTACTCACCCTCTCGACGTCTTTCACATCCCCTTCATGGGTACCGAAAGCAATTCTGTACCACGCACAGAAAAATAACCTGAATATCTTCAAATAATTTTTCGAATTATGGTGAAAAAGTATCCTTCGAAAGCATCCAAAATGAAATTTGAAATGTGAAAAGGAGGGAATAGGATGGATGAGTAGGAAATGGAGCGAGCTAGAGACAGAAGAGCGATCTGCCGAAATTCGAGGGAAGAGGGGAAAGCGGAGACAAAAGAAACATAGAAGAAAAGAGAATGATGGGAAAAAAGAGAAAGTGAAGAGAAAAAACTGAAAGACGTAGCTGATATTCTCTACTGAGGGATAGAAGCAGAATCCTGTTCATTCCTCCCGCGCTGACAAAGGTGTCATGTGGAAGGATTGCAGAATTTGCTGCTGTTTTTCCCTCCCCGGCTAGCGGAACAACAACAATTTTGACTCCATAGAGTCATGTGAGAGGTACGATAACCCTGCTTTTAAACTGCTCTGTTCGCCTCAGCTGTGGATTCGAACCCCAAACTAACTACTGGTCGCGTAACTCCCTAACGTGAAACTGGTTGCGCCCTTCGTAGTTTTTGGTCGGCGGGTTCTAGTCCCGCCTGGGGCGAAAGTTTTGTTCACAACCCAGCATTCTTGTGAAACATTCGCAAGGCGAACTGCGGCCAAAAACAGCAGTTAACAAACAAAAGCAAGTCAAAATTCTCTGTTCTCAATTCTCCCAGCTCCGGGAGGGTCTTCCTCTACACTGCTCCATCTGTCTTCCGTGAATCTCCACCCACCGAGTCTTAAGAAGGTGTGCCAAATATGCAGGTACAGATATAAAGGGCAAAAAGGTTGGAAAAAGAAAGCCGGTGGGTTTAACGTGCATAGAAAACAAAAACTTTCAGAGCGTTTTTTGTCAGGAAATAAGGCATACTGAGACCTGAAGAAGAATTATCCTTTTATGGAAGTGGCGTTCACATAAGTAAGGTAATAATTAATAATATTAATATATGCAATGAAGTATCAGTACTATTTCGAGCAATAATGATGAGCACAAATGCGATAATCCACAGCGGCAGCGAAGGATAATTATGAACTACACTACGCCATATTGACACCGGTGACTGTGGAACAACCTGAAAACGAGTGATGAAATCGTTATCATGTCTTATCATCTTTTATTCATCACCATGTCTCTGTTAATTTTGATCACCACGTTCTGCAGAAAACTTTGTCTCAAGATCTATTTTCTTCGGAAATTTCTCATTTTTCCTCCAAAAGAAGTCAAAGAATGTCTCAGTCAAAAGTTCAAAAAATGTTAATCTGAAGATGTTAGTGGATAAAATTCCATCCATTTGATTCAAAACTCTGTGGAAAACCTGACGATTTAGGAAATTTCAGTAGAATTTAATTTAATTTTGACATTCAATAAATAATCCAGCAAAAGAGAGGAACAATCACTCTGCAACGTCCAAATTGGATTGTTGGAAGCCAAAATTCCAGAAAGTACACTCCATTGCTTGGAAAACTTTGCCCGAAATTTGAAGCAATAGTAAAAAAAAATCAAGAGTAATAGTAACCTCAGCTTCTCCGATAATACCGGCAGCTTCCTTGATATAATGAGCATGAAATGTATCAATCGATACACATCCTATGAACAACATTATGAGCAGAAGAAACGTCTGAAACAGGAAAAAAATTGAATTTTCTTTTTTCGGCCACACATAATTTCCGGAAATCAGCATTGAAAGCTCTACCTTGATAGCCATATTTGGCACAATAAGCACGGCAGCATGGCCGGTGATACCGATGGCAGCCATAGCCAGCAGGAATGCGTCAAGCATCATAGCGGCTGATAACGGTCCGGTGGGTATCAGTAATGATAACGCACCAATGAGTAGACAGTTTGCTGGCACGGCATACTGTAGAGCGCGAGTTTCCTGGAAAATTAGCTCATTCAGGACGATTTTTTGAAAGAATAAGCTCATGGCAAGACATTTGTAGATTATGTGGAGTAATTTCAGATTGTTTCCTCTTTCCTGTTTCCTAACCTAACGCTTGAACTCTTTTGGAGGCTAACCATAAGAGAATCGCCAGTGAGATGAATTCATCCATACATAGGTATAGTAGGTA